TCCTCGTTGGCTCTTGTTCTCCGTGCGTGCATCAGGCTGTGCTTAAATGTGAACGACGGCGTCTGTGACATCACCCGCCCTCTTACCTCTCGCTCACCGTACGGCTCTTTTGATCATTTCAAAGCCAGGAGTGGAGACGGGAGGCTCCAAGCCCCTCGGCGAGGCACGCTGCTCAGCTAAGTCAATAGCAGCTAATGAGGCCTTCAGTAAGCAAGAAACACAATACAAATTGAATAAACTGAGATAAGGATTCTTGTGACATCTAAAAGCTTGGCTCTGATAATGGCTGACGTGATGAAACGCTGAGTGAAAAAGCTTTTGGAGGGCTTTTGTCACTGCTCATATACAGCAGAAAGAGGGACAGGGAGTGGATTTTTTCACTTTTTTGCAAACATTCTCCATGATAACCATTACAGAGAAGTGTTATTCGCAAACCGCAGGTGTTGAGCAGCATTAAACTATTTGATGAATTGCCCAGGCCAGGTGTTGTGCTGTTGGGGTGGAATTCCTCTGTCATTCATCATAACTGCTTTTGCCTGATACGGCTGAAGTGAGGGAGAAGCAGGATTGTGTCATTTTGTGCATTCTGGGCCCACTCCAGCTTCCATTTGTATTTATTACAACCCTTTTTTTTTTTTTTTTGCAAGTATAACATAATGCAAAGCAGAATAGCTTTAAAACAGTGATTCTCAGGAACAACTTCTCAAAATACTGAGCTCTCCCAATATTATCATTAAAAAACAATAGTTTCAAAAAGATTCTCTGCCATAAACAAGCAAACTGACCAATCCACTTGAACTCTAATCTACTTTGTAAAAACCAAACCTACTTCTTTATCATAACTGTAATTCAGTTCAATTCAGTTTATTTATATAGCGTGAAGTCACAACAGAAGTCGTCTCAGGACACTGAACAGAAACATTTATATATAAAAATAATAACTAACATTATCTATCTGAGGAGCAGACTGCTTTGAGTTTAACTCCATCGCAGAACTCTCATCTTGAGCAAGAAGGCGACAGTGGAAAGGAAAAACTTGAACCTTTAGCAGAACCAGGCTCAGGACAAGCGGACGTCTGGGTTATAGGAACAGATACACAATGGCAGGTCAAGAATGGCATGTTAAGAATGACATAGTATCAAATGAAAATTGTTCAATTTTAACAATTCATTTAAGGAAATGAGGTCAACTTGTCCTCTAGTATTCTAAGCTTAAGAAAGCTAACAAACCAACCCTAACTATAGGATTTATCAAAAAGGAAAGTCTTAATCCCAGTCTTAAAACTGGACAATGTGTCAGCCTCATGGACAGAAACTGGAAGTTGGCTCCAAAAGAGAGGAGCCTGATAATTGAAACATCTTCCTCTCATTCTGCTTTTGGAAACTCTAGGAACCACAAGTAAACCTGCAGTCTGAGAGCAAAGTGCTCTGTTAGGAAAACATGGAACAATAAGATCCCAAATATAAGATGGAGCTAGGTTGTTGAGAGCTTTGTAGGTTAGAAGTAAGATTTTGAATTCAATTCTGGATTTGACAGGGAGCCAATGGAGAGAAGCTAAAACTGGAGAGATATGATCTCTCCCACTAACTCCAGTTAAGACTCTGGCAGCAACATTTTGGATTAATTGAAGACTCTTCTAAGAAGTATTTGGACACCCTTCAACAAACCTGGATGGTTAACACACATCAACAAATAAATATCCTCAGTTGGGCCATTCATGGATGAAGATATCTGAGATGCTTCCCTAAATGAATGTAATAGTTTTAAAATTAATCACATCTTAAATCCTGGGTTAAACAAAGAAGACTGGATCTTGACTGACATGTGCCCATTGCTTAGGTTTGATTCCCTACTCTGAACGCTTTCACTTATTTGACTGAATGAAGGGGAACATTGGAGTTGTTACAATTGCTAATGGACTTATTTTGTTTGAAGATGTTTTGCTCTCTCAACCATTTTTTTTTTAATTTAAACAGAAAAATGTAAAAATGTCAAGCTTCAAAACTGCAGTTGAGTTTCTCCATTTGTGCATGCTGAACTCTTGCAAATCACTCTTCTACGTGGAAGATGGCACTGGAGATAGACTCTCTTGTCTGAGAAGCAAAATGTCCTCAAGAATAAAGAAAGATAAGTTAATTTTCCTTTTAAATAACCTGACATATATGCAGGGGGAACCATTGAGATACAAAAATCCCGCTTAACTCTAGTTGAAGTGTCTGGTTTAAGATGTGATGGTTCCATGGACTGCCTGCTGAACGTGTTGCCCCAACATTGCTGTTCAAGACACTGCAAATCCAGGACATGGCAAATGTATCCATCCATGCCTGTTTCATTTGACATCACATCACTTGAGAAGCAGTGGAAACCGTCAGCAAACAATTTCAGCGAGATACTTTCAACCCAGACCAGACCATTGCATTGCTGGACTTATAATTTTCCACCACTTGTTAAAAAAAATGACAGTTTTTACAGACAGGAGCATAGGTATGCCATGGTAACTTTACTATCACTGATTGTTGCCAGTCTCTATCTGGAGCAAGAGAAAAAGAGAGCCTTGAACTCTTTCCAGAGAACAGATACTGTATGTGGATGATGCCTCGGTATAAAACACAAGCTACTAAAGTAAAAGTGTCACCAGACTCATCAACTGTTGACGACAACATTAAGCTCACCAGAGAGGATGCCAACAGCAACAAGCTGGCTTTTTTTGGACTGGTCGGTGCACACAGAAAGAGATGCAAGCTTGAGCACTGAGATTTATAGAAAACCACCACGCACACATCAGTATCTTCTATTTGTATCTCCACAGGAAAACAAACTTTATGTCATTAACGTTACACCATGTGGCCAAACATGTTCCCACATAGACGGACGGGAAGGGAAAGGAACAGAAATACGTATAATTTTTTTTTTAAATGATGGACTTTTGTGAAATCAATGGATCAGTTGCCTATATACAATCTTGGTGTATTGTTTTTATTCTACTAGTGCTTAGTGTATTTTTATTAACGTTGTTCTTAGCTCAAATTTTAGATCTTATTACTGTTTTTCTTTTACATTTTAATACTTTTGTTGAATGTAACTGGGACCCTGTGTACACAATTTCATTCCACCACATGTACCACATAAAGAACCTTGAATCCTTGCATAGAAATTGTAGATTTTATTGGTTTTCTTCATGGTGCTTAAAATGATAGTTTCATGATTTGATTTATTGGAGGGTTCAGTCTTTGTTTTTCCAAAACTCCAGTCCAGATTTCCCCAGGATTTCCACCCATGACCAGAAAGATACATAGGCTGAGTCCCACCAGTGGTACTTGTTGCACAGTTTGAGAACTGTGGACTTAGAACATAGATCATCTTTATAAACCGTAAAATCAGACTGCAAGCACAGTTTTTGTAGGGTGACTATAAGTGCACCATTCATTTTTTGTACTGCATTTTGTTGATACTGGAATATTCATACTGACGTAGCGTTTAACCGTGTTGTCATGTTGACTGTGACTCCTCATTAAAGCTCTTGAGTTTCTCTTTTTTTAATTACAGCTGCATCTTTCCACATGAAGTCAGACACTTAGGTTAATGGTAGTTTTGGCCTTTTAGGGACACGCTACAGAAAATGTTTCATACACTAGAAATATATTAAAACGTGCATGTGCATTCTGAGTCTGCAGACATAGAAAGAAATGTTAACCTTTTTTTTAATTATGTTTCTCACTTCATCTTGGGCTGAAGTTATAAGAAACCTTTTTTATAATCTTAAAGGATGCATGCACATTTGTCTGTTAGCAAAATATCTTTTGAACCATTGTGCAAATTTTAATCTCAGAAAGTATTTACTACAATTATATCTACAACTGATTAACTGTTAATGTCAAACTAATTAAAGATGACCACCACAACCCACTTTCCAAAAGCAACAACACTATAACCAGCTGCTTCAAATGTTGTTAGCCCATTAAATGGCCGTAGCGGGTGCTATAACTTAGTCGGTTAAAAAATTGCCAAACATTTTTATAATGGTAAACCCTGTTTGTCTGTTGTCAAAATATCTTATGATCCAGTGGATGAATTTTCATAAAACTTTCAGGAAGTAATCAGTGGATGCACATCTGCAACTGTTTAACGTTTGAGGTGAATCAAATTTAAAATGCCGCCCCAGCCCAATGATCTTAGAAAACGAAAAAGGTTATAATTGAGTCAGTTTTTAGGGTTTTGGGTCAAATTTTTGTGTGATAGCAGCTGAAAATCTACCTCCATACATACTCATCGTGCTAACAGATCCTGCAAGATCTGGTGATTTTGTGTAAGATTGCTCATGATGGCATGTTTCATGCTGAACCACAATAACTGCAGTTCTGTCGTTTCTCAACTTAATTTGATCTTAGTTCAAAACTGTCACGAAAGTATTAAGCCTTTAAATGTAGGTTGCTCTTTATCTTTTATTCTTTGTTTTAAATAATCAGTGCTCTTCTTCAAAACAGGGTAGACCTTTGAATCGTTTGGAAATACAATGGTACGAAGAAACAATATCTTTTTGAACAGATCCTTGAGAGACTGGCTCACTTTGAAAAATACAAATTCTCTTCCGTACAATGAATGACTAGTGTTGTACAAAACATCTCGAGTGGGTTCGTTTAGAAGTCACGCCATTATATATATATATATTTAAAGCATATATTGTTTTTACACAGGGAAATATTTTTGACAAATTCATTTAAATAAAAGAAAAAAAATGTATTTTTAGAGGTTTTATGGTTTGAAGAGGCCATTTGAGTTGAAGTGAAACATCTCTCACACATAAACACACTCACCACCTTCCATGCTCCTACTTGTCATCACTTTATTGTCAAATCCTTTTTATTCTTATTTTTTTAATCTTTATGAATGGGGGATTCATTCTGAGTGAAAAAAATAAAAGAAATCAATTGAAACCTTTCAACATTTTGCATGAGGTGAAGACTTAGTTGGATGAAATGTCAAGGTGCGGTCTTCTTACCTGTAGCTGTAGAGGGTTGAGGCCAGACGCCGCGGCAGCTGCCATTGTTGAGGGAATGAACTGCATTGGGTAATTCTCACCTGGTGAACAACCAAAACAACACGTATTATACAGCGAGGTGGGGTCAGAGTTCAACACAAGAACCAACCTGCTCTTCACCTTCAGCCCACCGCTCTGTCTCTTTCTCCCTGTCTCACTCTTTGTCTCCTTCCCTGTTCAACTCATGTTTTTATACATAAGAAACACGAAGGGTCACGAACGTTTTATTCAGAGGTTAATAAATCCCACCATTGGCACGAACAAGTGCTTGAGCCCAGACTGAGCAGAGCTCACTCAATGGGATGCACTCACAAGCAGAACAAATAATCCCCACTGTTTGTCCTTAAAAGGGTTTTCATGTTTTAGTCTTTGTTGAGAAACTGTCCAAAGTCAAAGGGGGTGTGCAATAATGGCTTTTAAACGCTTTTCTTTATGTCTCGTTCTCGTTGCAGCCTTGCAGGGGGCTATGCTCGTGGCTAAACATGGATTGTTCTGCTTGGCTTCAGGGGTTGGGGCTGCCTCATGTCAGGTGAGCACCTGGAGGAATGTATGGAAGCGAGGAATGTGCGAAGGACGGGGAGACGCACAGAAAGCAGGTGGTGCAGAGAAAACAGGACCAGGTATTGTGCGTGTCTGTCTGTAGGTGTGGCCTCAAAGGTTTTGTTGAGAAGCTCTTTGAGAAAAATGCTTGTGAATTGTTAAAACATGTAACATGCGTGCCTTCTTTAGAACGCTTTTTTTAGAAGACAAGTGATTAGTCCATCTGAATCATCAGCACGTTGACAGTTTTGAGCTGGTGCAAAGCACAAGAAGATACTTAAGAGCATCTGTGTGCTTTTATGTGACTGAGAATGTGTGAAACTCCACGTTGCAGATGTGCAACTAGCATCATGAAAGACACATTCCAGTCCGCAGTGTGTCCAATGAATCGATCCTAAAGTAAATGAAGGACGTGTGTAAATCTCTCCGCTCATTTCCAGAACATTCCTTACCTGACACACTTCGTTAACATCCACTGGGATCACAATGTTTGTTGTGACGGAGCTCGTGAGCGTACCTGGCTTGTATGACATGCTGGGTGGGAAGAGGAAGCCTTGCTGTGCGGCAGCGGCGGCGGCTAGAGACCGCTGGTCGTGTGGAAACACCGGGATCATCAGAGGTGGCATGTGACCCTGGACCTGAGAGGAAAGCAGACAGCAAGAGGAGATAAAAGGAAAACGGGGAAACGTTAAAGAATCTCGATGAAAAAAAAATACCATGAAAACGTAAATGACTTGAAGCCCTCGTAGAGCGTACACCTCCACCAAGACTCTAGAGTCACAGTAACATCTTGTGCACAGACAGACAAGAATCTTTAAAAAAAAATCCTGGATCCAGACGTTTATCCAGACCACCACCAAAATTTAATAATTCGTTTCTCAACATTTCAACATTGAGTCCCCGTGACTCAATGAGACTAGCCTGTATAAATTAAGGTTGAAGGAAATTTCCTGAAAATTTCGTAAAAATCCATTCAAAACTGTTTCAGTAATCTTGTGCACAGACAGACAGACAGACAGACAGACAGACAGACAAAACAACGCTACAAAAACATAGCTTCCGTGGCGAAGGTAACAAATGATTGAATCAGTTTGCTTTTCAAGCACTTTACGTAAAATGTAAATATTCTACTCTATGTGTTATTAAGTAAAGTAAAGTGCTATGTGTTATCATTGTATGTTCCCATACAAAGACACAATTGGCTCTCTGCATTTAAATAATCGCACCTGGGATACACCCAGGTGGAGCAGTGGGCAGCTATGTAAGTACCCGGGGAGCAATTCGGGATTGGGTGTCCTGCTCAGAGACACCACGAGATATGCATGACAAGGGATTGAACCCAGGACCTTGGGGTCTCGAGTCGGCTGCCCTGCCGCTACACCATCCTAAAAACAAATACTGTTTGTATTTTTTTATCTATGAAAAAAAAAATCAAATGATTCTAACCAAAATGCTGAAATGTCCATGTTGCACCACTAGGGGGCGAGAACATCCATGTTGATGATGTCTTAAAATACAGAGGGCGAAAAAACAATCTTGGCTTGGATAAATATTTTTCCTTATTTTTTTTCTTTGTCATTTTAGCACAGTCAAATTCTCAGTGTCAAGATCGCAATAAAGGGAAATACCCAAATAATAAGTAAAAATAACTTTGTACCGGTTTGAGTTTTGTTGGCGCAAAGTGATAGGGGCATATGTCCAATGGGCTGCTATGTCATAGATTTTTAAAATCCTCTATATCTCATGACAAAGTCACTAAAAGTAGAATTTTTTTAAATATCCGTTTTTGTCACTCAAAACTCAGTTTATGGGTAAATGAGAGGTACAAATGTAATAGAAAACACCAGTTTTTTTAATGATCAAGAGCAGTGCATACAAAGCTTTACTTATTTACCATATTTAATTACTGTTTTTTTAGAAATATTTTATAACTTAACACATTTAGAAGCACAATTTTTATCCCTCAAATCTGTGAGATATTAACAATATCAAGTTGGATATTTTTCCACATTTTAAATAAATAAATGCTAAAAATTTCTAATAAACTGAACAAACATTGTTTTAATAAGTAAACACAAAAATCACTGATTTATTACTTTATATTTTACTTCAATATGTAAAAATTCTCTGTGTAAGTCATCTGAAAGTGACTGCAACAGCATCAAGCTGCTGACACAATAATGCTAAATAAAACCTTTAACATTTAATATTTTTTTGACAATATCTAGTTTAAGAGGTTCATTTGTCTAAAATTTAAAATCACAATACATATTGCTCTACTGCAGCAACATCTACACTTTACTAAAACTCCAGTGTTTCAAGATATTCACAATAAAGTAAATTAAAAGGAAGAAAACTGTAAAATGTTGCAGAAAATATTATTTGAGAAAAAAATGGTTAATTAAAAAAAACATCTAGAAACAATGAAATTATGAGAAATAACCTAAAAAAAATAAAGAGAGGATGAACTGCATCAAACAAACTTAATGATGTAAAATGTATTAAAAAAAATTTAAATTAAAAGTGTAAAAACATAATCAAGCTTTTTAAACAGATGATTAAATATTCAAATAAACTAAACAAGAGGGGCAAGTGTTAAAAAGCTGTTGAAACAACAGAGAGGTTAAAAGCTGCCTTTCATGTCGGCTTGAAAGACCTAAAACTGAAGACAACATATCAAAGATGACCCTGAGGGCGTCTCAGAGAAAAACCACCAGGCTGTACATCCCCTTCCATCTTATCTCTATCTCTTTTCTTTTCACTCATTTGTGTCTGACTTGTAAAATTATGTCTTCCCCCTTCTTGCTCCCTTCTTTTATTTCTCTCTTGTTGTTTTTCGAGCTTTCGTTATTTCCTCCATCGCTTTTGCAAAGTTTTTGTCTGAAAGTTAAGCAGCTCCCATAACCTGTTGCTGAACAAGAGAACAGGAACAAGAGAAGGTGAGACATTTGGTTTCTATGCATTGACGTCAGAAACATTTGTAACGTTGGGGGGGACACAATGAGGGGGGGGGGGGGGGTCTGGGGTTCCACCCCAAGAAAATTTTGAATAAAGTATATGTCATTTTCTGCATTCTGGTGTATTTTACCAGGTTGTTAAACATCTAAGTTAGTAAACACTTGATTCAATAACTATCAACAGCTCTCCTGTGAATTGAGCACGCTCCTCTCACGCATCCAAACACCCACCCCAACCCCAATGTCAGCTGCCGGCACTAATGTAGTGCTAAGCTAGCGGTGCACGATACAGACACGCTAGCTAAGATGCTACAGACATAGCACTCTACTTCTCGCAGGCATCCTAGCCCCCCCACCCCAATCAACTGCTGGCACTAACAACGTGCTAAGCTAGCCTGCAACACATAGATGTCCCCCCCTCCTCCCCCTGCCCCGTCCACAAAAAAACCCCAAAAACTCAGAGATGAGCGCCTTGCCAAGGTAAGTGACGTCGGGGAAACACCGCATGCAGTGTGGTGATCTGTTTTAGGTAACCAGGAAAACCTGGAGTGGACTGGGCAGCTGTGGCTGAGTTGTTAGAGCAGTCGTCCTCCAATGTAAGAGTTGGGGTTTCAATTCCACCAGCAGTCACATGCCCAAGTGTGCCTGGGCAAGACACTGAACCCCTCATGTGTGTCCCATCAGTGTATGATGATGCACTGATTAGTCTCTTTAGAATGATTTGTTCAATTAGCTTTGTAGAGTGCTGTATGAATGGGTAAATGAGGACACAGATTGTAGTGTAAAGCGCTTTGAGTATCTTGATTAGATAGAAAGGCGCTATACGAGTACAGTCCATTTACCATGGACTTTTAGTGGTTTGAGTGTTCTCCTGTTAATAAAATGGGATGGATTTGTTCTCTAAGTAATAGAAACAGCACTGGGTGAACTAATATTTCATGGTAAACGTGGGAGGGTCCAAATGAACATTTTTTTAATGTGAGGGGACTATGCAATGCCTATGATCTTATGATGATTGGAGTTTGATGGTGACAAGACCAAGATTAAAAGAAATACAAGGAAAAACTCTGAAACACCTGAATGTGAGTTGGATTTCTCGGGCACAAAATGATGGTACGTATGCACAAACTAGACCGCTACATCACCGTTTCTGACACAAAACCACCTAAATATTGTTGAATCTCTACTTTTGGAAAGTGTTTTAAAATATATAAATGTTTCTCACCAAAATCTTGCCGTGACCTACTTCTACTTTCTACTCTTGTAGACTTTTCCCTTCTTCTCTTTCCATTTCTGTCCTCTGTCCAGTGCCACCCACCTCCATCCATCTCCTTTAGTACCAGTGCATTAGCCAAGCTGACACTGCCTCACCTCTCACCCCCTCCCATTGACCTGCTGACAGTTCATCATGAGCTGTCAAAGCTCTGCAATCAAGGTGCTGCTGGATTCCAATGTGCTTCTGCTTCTGTGAGGTGGGGTCATGTTGCTGAGTTGGTTAAATAGGATGACGATCCTCTGCAGCGTTAGTGTGGGAGGGGGTCAGTATAGGGCAGTTAAAAGAGAACAATTTCTTCTTCTTTCAGCTTTTCCCTCTTCAGGGGTCTCCACAGCGAGCCATCGTCCTCCATCTCACTCTGCCCTCACTCCAACTACCTCCATGTCCTCTCTAACTGCATCCATATCCTCACTCCAACTAGCTTCATGTCTTCTCTAACTGCATCCATATACCTCCTCGTTGTATTTTTCCTGACAGCTGCATTCCTAACATCCTTCTACCAGTATACCCACTGTCCCTCCTCTGGACATGTCCAAACCATCTCAGTCTGGTCTCTCTAACTTTATCTCCCAGTTGTTCAACCTGTGCTGTACCTCTGATGATCTCATTCCTAATCTTATCCATCCTTGTCACTCCTAAGGAGAACCTCAAAATCTTCATTTCTTCCACTTCCAGTTCTGTCTCCTGTCTTTTTGTCCATGTCTCTGTCTCCAGACCATGCAACATAGCTGGTCTCACCTTTGACCTTTGCTGACACCTTTTGTCACAAATCACTCCTGAAACTTTTCTCCATATACTCCATCCTGCCTGGACTCTCTTCTTCACCTCTTTACCACACTCCCCATTTTCCTGGATAGTGGACCCCAAGTCCTTGAAGTCCTGCACCTTTGTGACCTCTGCTCCTTGTAGCCTCACTGTTGCACCTCCTCCCACTCGTTCACACACATGGACTCTGTCTTACTACGGCTGACTTTCATTCCTCTTCTTTCAAGCGCATACCTTCACCTCTCCAAATTCTCTTCCACCTGTTCCCCGTTCTCACCACAGATCACGTCATCTGCAAACATCATAGTCCACAGGGATTCCTGCCTGACCTCATCTGTTAGAAAAAAGGAGCGACTAAACGCCGATAAAAGAAAGATAAGCAGGATACTGATTGACTTGTTTGTGTTTAGAAATTTAAATTATTATTTAATCAACAGGAAGGGGTTCAGAAAATGAACTGGCTATGAGTTTAATAACTGATAAACAATATAAAACAACTAGGATGTAATATTTACACACACATCTATATGTAAAATGTTTTTTTTAATTATATTTTCTTTACTATGATAAATAGAAAGTTGACATATGTTTATGTCTTCCTCCCAGTGATGCAATAAAGTTAGATTTTGGTTGCGTTGGA